TTTTTTGGATTAGGTTAAGTCATTATTATGAGAAAGTTTCTCATTATTACGAGATACTAAGTCATTATTTCGAGAAAGTTTCTCATTATTATGACTTACAGAATTATATTTTTTTATTCAGTGGCGGAAACGGGCTTCCATACTCTTTCTTTCAGTATCAGAAATTTAAATGTGAGATTCTGGAAACGAGATCTAAATTTAGCGGGAACAGTCAGGTCGGGAAGAAAATTATTCTAAGCGGACAGCAGGTGAACAGAGTGAATATATAGTGGGAGCAGGTGGGTGCGGGCCTAAAAAAATAGTCCCGCACAGACCAGTCTGTAGGTGGCGACTCAAGTACCTTGATGGGTCTGACCAGTTTGGGTTTCTTCCATCTGTAGTACAGCAGCCCAGCTATAGTGACTCCATATGAAAGGTAGTTTATAAAAGACACATAGTTTATCAGGTTATGCGTGTCCCCGATGCACAGGATCACTATGGTCGCCGTACACTGTGGAGAACAAGAGAGAAAGACACTTTGACCATGTTTATACTTCGTAAAAGAATCATGCTGCAGTTCTCAGCCTTTTTGACTCAAAGGCCCCCCATTTTCCAACACAATATTCAAAGGCCCCATTTAGACAGAGATATTTTCTCCATTTTCAAACCTTTTTAATGAACAAAAACTGAATAGCTATGTATCCATCCAGGTCTTTTTACACAAATTTTGGGATAAGGAATGGAAACAACTGGATGTGAATAAAACCTTAAAATGTGCATTAAAAAGTTACATGCCTCTTTATTTTGTAGGAAAAAGCAGCCATAGGTTTCCCCGGTTGCAGTAACTTTTATTTTGTAGTACTGATACTTTGTTTCCCAGAAAGTGACAAATTTGTTCTTTTGAACAAATGGGATGGAAATAGTGCTTTATTCGCAAATGTATTATGCAATATTCAAGTTTTCCTGCACAAGTTAAATGGATGGAAAGCTAATAATGATTTATTTAATTAATTAACCATGATTTATTTTGTGTTTCCAAAATATTCAAGATTCTAATTCTAATGTTCTTCGATAAAAACGTTATTTATTGAGGGGGGAAATATAAATCTCAGTTTAAATCATGTTTTTTTAGCACTTTAAAGTAGATATAATGTGAATCAAAAAGTAAAAAAAAAAAAAAAAACTTTTAAAAGTACTTTTAAATCATACTCTCACCATAAACGATGATGTTTTGTGACATGTTTGAGTCTATCTGCTATATAAACTGAACTTTAAATGTGCTTGATCTGTGTCATTGAATGTTGATGTCAAGCAAATCTGTGAAGTATAAACAGGCTTTTCCAAACGTTTCAATTGAACAGTTATTTTCTTGTAAAAGGGGCACATAACCAGCAATGTTTAAACCCTGTTTTAGTGCTGTGGTTGATTGACAGGTGAGTAGGCGGTCCTTTACTGTTGTCCAGAACACAACAGGACAGATTAGCTTGTGTTTATACAATAAATTCAACATGATCACATGAGTTTTCCATTACCTCTGAATGTGGTTTGAGTGATCTGTTCACAAAACATTCTGGACCCCATTTAGACCTGAATCAGATCAACCAAATCATGCAGACTGAAAGCAGTATTGTGTTGCATGTGCTGTGTGTGCGAATAGCTCTTCTCTCTCACACAAACGAGTAGGGCAGGAATTGGTGTGCAGCTCTTAAGGTGGATCATAGCCAGCAGGTAGGGCAGGTGACCCTCTCTGGCGCCTGAGAAACACAACCTGTGGAGGATGGACAATGAAGCAAGTTTTAGTTTGAAGCATGGCTGTATTAGGCCATTTTAATAGTACTCAAATGTTTCTTTACCTGGAAGATGTAAACAAGTATCCGTTGATCCCCCCAAAGGTGGAAAGAGCCACAGAGATGGGCATCACCCAGGAGAACACTCCTAGCAGCTTCTCTCCAAATGTCTGCAACACAACACACAAAAACAGATGCTAATTTATCAAAGCACCTAATAGATTGTTTTAGCAGAATAAGCCAGAAGAAGTCAGAGAAACTCACCACAGCGACAGCGTTTGACTCCAGCAGCTCTTGAGGGGACATGGAGGAGAAGTACGCAATGTTGGTGAGAGTATAGACGAGCGTCACCAGGGGGATGGAGATGTAGATTGCACGTGGAAGGTTCCTAGAGCAGAAACCATAACACACCATAAAACATATGCTGTAAGAGTTACCCAAGGTATTGTATTTTAAGTTGACTTTTTTCAGTTTTAGTTTTAGCAATTTTAGTTCAACTTATTTCAGTTAGTTTCTAAGGCAGCCTTTCTCATTTTGTCAGTTTTTTTAAGTTTTGAAGATTTTATTTTAACAGAAACCATTTTAATAGTTTTAGTTACCAATAACGACAATGTATAGTAGATGTATAATAACAGATTTTCGTTTGTTTAAAGTACATTCCTGTAGCAGAATAAACACGTAAAACCTGCAGACAAAAAGTGGGGCAAAACTATTTATAGTGGGGCAAAGCTGAATTTAAATAAAAAAATCTGTGAAAATCGAGTACGAAAAAATAAAATAATTAATTTGCATATGCCCTATATATACTCTAATAACTACTAAAGTATTAAATATGAGAGCTTAGAGAGCTGGCTGGTTAATGTCCAGATCAATTTCCCACATTTTCACTCAGAGTTTTTGCATCTTTTTGTTGAAAGTCTTTTAATTCGTTGCCCAGATTATTCTTGAGAAAACGTGACTAGCCTTTGGCAACAGAAGCGCTGTTTCTGCCATCCAAACGTGCTTGAAACACAAAAAGCATCTCAATTAGCCGTGAAGTAATCCTTTCTGTAACCTATTTTGTGCATTTCCAACAACTTGAGCACTTTTGAGGATGGTTTGGAATCTGTTGATAATACGGTACTTGATGCTACGCAACATGAATACATTATGCAAGTTACAATGCTTTTTTTGTTTCACTGGTGGATGCTTTTATTTATACTGTTGCTGTATTTATTGTCACTTGGTATTTGTAAGTTATTTGTAATTTGGTGATTAAAAGCTTCTTTTTCATAGGGTTATTTAGGCTTACGGTCATTGTGGTTGGTGTGTTAAACAAGGTCTATGCATGTGTTCATGTTTGTGCACTATGCTGTGGGGCTGTTGTTTGATTGCATTTTGTTAATGGAGAACAACAAATATTTCCTCTGCAGTAACTGTCCTAAAACACGTACATCTCCTTCGCGAGGCCTCCCAGGCATGTTGAGGCCCCAGACGACCACCTCTATTGTCTGTAAGACGGACCGGCCATGATTGTGACATAGATTATAATAGAGACTCACTTGCGAGGCTCAACCACCTCTTCAGTGACGTAGTTCAGGAAGTTCCATCCACTATAGGCAAATGAAGCCTGCAGGAAGGCAAGAGCAATCTGCCCCACTGAAGGATCCTTTATGAACTCAAATGCTGTCTGGGGCTCCAATGCATCATAATGTCCTAGAGAGAGTAAATAGAAAATATGCTTTTGACCTCAGGGTTGTACCTGTTGGATAAAACGCTGTATATTTCAGATGCTTATGGGAACAATCTGTTCATATTCATCTTGACGCTCTAGTGTCATCAATTTGATTTCATTATTTCACTAAATAGCCAAAGCCTCCAAAACGCCTTTCTCTTTCCTGTCACTCAAGTGTGAAACTGCACTGCTTAGCTCTCTCGTTTACTCAATTCTTTCTCTTGTCAGTTCAGGGAATGCCTCCAGACAAGCTCGCTAAATAAAAATAAAGTCTTCCCATAGTAGGTCATAGCCATTACCTGCATCTCTAGACCCAGGACTGACCACCACTGCTTTATTGTGATATCACTCAGTTGTGTAAGACAAGTCACACAGTTCACATCGTTAAAACTATTCTGCAAATTGAGTCTAAAATTGCCATTTTGCTACAGTCTTAGCTTAGTTTGTTGTGAACTGTCTAAAGTAAATGAGTCAGCTTTACGCTCTATTGTAACATTTCAAAACACTATCAAAACATCCTAATAAGCTATTATTTTCTGATTCAATTAACTAAAGTTCATTCCAATTAATGTATGTTTGAACCAATTAAATAATGCAAAACAGAGGATTTAATAGTGAGATATCTAAAGGCTGGAATACACTACACAACTTTCGATGTGTTCAGAATGACTTGAAAGTCTGGTAGTGTGCGATCCTCAGTCGTTTAGTGTATGGTGTCCAGTTTTTCTCTGTAGCCATTTACAAAGTCGGCAGTTGTATGATGTCTGATATCGGCAAGTGTTTTGAAATTTGTTTAGATTTTAAAAGTTGTGTAGTCTTAAAGGTCATTGGTTCAAGTTTTAGAAAGGGTGATTTATGAAACTACCCACCACTGTGCCCTTGAGTAAAGCACGTAACCACAGGGTGCTTCAATGTATATCACTTTGAACAAGCATCTGTTTAGTAACTCAAAATACAAGATCTACCACTAGATGTCACTACTGAAAAAATTGAGTTTGAGGAATGGTTTCTCCCAGAATCTGCAGAAGAAAAAACAACTTGAGGGTGAGTAAATAATGACAGAATTTATATTTTGGAGATAATTATTCATGAAATGTTAGCATATTCCAAGAGAGTTCAAGCTTTAGTAGCAATGGGTTTAGATTGGTTCCTCTCTTTTCTCAAAATAGCTTATTATTTGTTTGTGTTTACTGGATTATTTCAGTGGTCTGTGCCCACTCAAGGTGAATCTTTTGCTTTTTATTCATTAGATAATAGGCAGCTGGTCTGTTTAGGCTGGCTTTAAAGGGGTGGTTCAGTGGGGTTTTTTTAGGCTTGATTGTGTTTATGAGGTGCAGTCTAACGTGTTAATGCTTAGTTTTTTTAAAAATGCATTATTTTTCACATAATTTACCTTTATTCCACGCACTGATCATTTCCTTCTTTTATGAAGCCCCTCCCTCAGAAATAGGCGATGGACTCTGATTGGTTAGCTAGCCCAGTGTGTTGTAATTGGCTAAACAGCCTCTAGTGCACGTCTAAATAATATAGTATCCATATCCAAAAATATCCATATTTCAAACGTAATAAACACTTTTCTCTCACTTCCGCTGACTGTCATAGACTGAAGCAGTTCCGGTTTTGTTTAATTTATATAGAGTTTAATTTATATAGACTCTGAATGAGCCAAGTGGAATGGATTTGAGGAAGCAGCATCGTGGAATTCAAGGCTGTAGCTAAATGGAGTTTAATTTATTAGGGCATTCATTATGTGGAATGGATTTGACTGACGGCGCTCTGAAAAGTACATATTCGCTGAATTAGAGACGGTAAAAGTGGGTGGGTCCAATATCATTGGTCTTCAAAAGTGGGTGGGTCCTGTCCCACCCTCATTCAATGGTTCTGACGCCCATGCCTAGGATGCTTCGAGGGTAAGTAAAACACAGTCTAATTTTCCTTTTTGGGTGAACTAACCCTTTAATATCGCTTATCAGTTTGAGCATATTCATGCCATTTAACTACCATTTAACTTGAGAAGCAGAGGATACTATTGAAGAGGATCATGCAGAACCTGTGCAAGCACAGCTTTTAATGGTAGGCCTATATTTTTTGTTGTTGTCTCATACTTTTAGATATGCTGTTATGTAAATGCATAGTAGCAAGTAGTACATGCTACTGCTTATGTTAGCTTTTAATATACGGTTTTATCCTGATTAAAGCTTTAATACAGTACGGCAACTGCACGCGCGTCCATGTTTAACGCTTCTCATAGCTATGTGAAAATAAGTGTAAAATTGAAACAGTTCATTTTTGGAGCTGAGCTGAATGAGAGAGAGCGAGAGAGCGAGAGAGATGCAGAGCAGGTGGACGCGAGGAACAGTATTGAGAACAGCTGCTTTAGAACATTGATTTTGAAACTTTGAAACTTGTTAGAATACTTAGAAGACAGAATCGCGATTCATTTATGAATAGATTTTTACGTGCACCCCTAGTTTTCTCTGCCTCTTCTCTAAAGCAGCGCAGCATGGCCTCGCCCCCTTTGCTGCCTTTTCCCGAGGGCGGGCTTTATCTGGGTTTGTGACGTCACAAACCCGGGAAGTAACTTGTTGTAGTCCCTACCAGCCGTTTTTGTAGGCATTAAACTGCCAGAATTCTAAAAGACGATATCTCCGTTTGCATTGAACTTTCAGCTTTGTAACTTTGCAGATATTGTTTATGTTCAAACAGCAACATTACACACTAACTAACGTTAAAAAAGTGAAATCGCAATGAACCACCCCTTTAATGTGCTGGGAGTGTTTGATGATTCATGCCATTTAACTGGGGGATTTATTCACAGATGTGAGTTTATCACACTCTTCTCCTTTCTCTCCTTTGCCTATTACTTAATTCTCTCTTTTATCTCTCAACTTCACTGTGTACAAAGGCACAAAGCTTTCTCAGCTTCTGTGGTTTACATACTATTTACATACATTGGGAATATATAAAGTTTTTTTAAATTATGTTTTGGACTGAATGCATCTGCAGATAGGCACTGTTTGTTCAGGAACATGTGTTACATTGCTTATCTGTGCTACAGTTTGGCCTATCAAATGAAAGTGAGGGAAAAAGCAATACAGTATAGAATTGTGATACCCTTAATGTTTAATATTTAATGTCACTGCACATTTGTAGAATTAAAAATGCTTTGGTACTTCAAACTGCATCGGTTTTAATGTAAGACAGCACAAAGAACTCTGTTTTACGAGATAGAGTATCATGTTTCATTTAAGACAATGGCTGGAAAGAACATAAGTGTAAAGTGTACTTGAGTTGACACACCTTTGGCAATCTGGATCATTCCCACTACAATGATGAGGACAAGGGCCAGCAGTTTCCCCACAGTGAAAATATCCTGGATCCGTGTCCCCCAGCGCACACTGGAGCAGTTCACCCAAGTCAGGAACACTGTAAACACAGGCAGTGAACACACAGTTATTCATTTACACATTCCAAACTCACAGGTTTAATAATAATTTCCCTGAAATATTATGAAAAACATTAGCAATCCCCAATAGAGACGGTAAAAGTGGGTGGGTCCAATATCATTGGTCTTCAAAAGTGGGTGGGTCCTGTCCCACCCTCATTCAATGGTTCTGACGCCCATGCCTAGGATGCTTCGAGGGTAAGTAAAACACAGTCTAATTTTCCTTTTTGGGTGAACTAACCCTTTAATATCGCTTATCAGTTTGAGCATATTCATGCCATTTAACTACCATTTAACTTGAGAAGCAGAGGATACTATTGAAGAGGATCATGCAGAACCTGTGCAAGCACAGCTTTTAATGGTAGGCCTATATTTTTTGTTGTTGTCTCATACTTTTAGATATGCTGTTATGTAAATGCATAGTAGCAAGTAGTACATGCTACTGCTTATGTTAGCTTTTAATATACGGTTTTATCCTGATTAAAGCTTTAATACAGTACGGCAACTGCACGCGCGTCCATGTTTAACGCTTCTCATAGCTATGTGAAAATAAGTGTAAAATTGAAACAGTTCATTTTTGGAGCTGAGCTGAATGAGAGAGAGCGAGAGAGAGAGAGAGATGCAGAGCAGGTGGACGCGAGGAACAGTATTGAGAACAGCTGCTTTAGAACATTGATTTTGAAACTTGTGAATCCATTAGAATACTTAGAAGACAGAATCGCGATTCATTTATGAATAGATTTTTACGTGCACCCCTAGTTTTCTCTGCCTCTTCTCTAAAGCAGCGCAGCATGGCCTCGCCCCCTTTGCTGCCTTTTCCCGAGGGCGGGCTTTATCTGGGTTTGTGACGTCACAAACCCGGGAAGTAACTTGTTGTAGTCCCTACCAGCCGTTTTTGTAGGCATTAAACTGCCAGAATTCTAAAAGACGATATCTCCGTTTGCATTGAACTTTCAGCTTTGTAACTTTGCAGATATTGTTTATGTTCAAACAGCAACATTACACACTAACTAACGTTAAAAAAGTGAAATCGCAATGAACCACCCCTTTAATGTGCTGGGAGTGTTTGATGATTCATGCCATTTAACTGGGGGATTTATTCACAGATGTGAGTTTATCACACTCTTCTCCTTTCTCTCCTTTGCCTATTACTTAATTCTCTCTTTTATCTCTCAACTTCACTGTGTACAAAGGCACAAAGCTTTCTCAGCTTCTGTGGTTTACATACTATTTACATACATTGGGAATATATAAAGTTTTTTTAAATTATGTTTTGGACTGAATGCATCTGCAGATAGGCACTGTTTGTTCAGGAACATGTGTTACATTGCTTATCTGTGCTACAGTTTGGCCTATCAAATGAAAGTGAGGGAAAAAGCAATACAGTATAGAATTGTGATACCCTTAATGTTTAATATTTAATGTCACTGCACATTTGTAGAATTAAAAATGCTTTGGTACTTCAAACTGCATCGGTTTTAATGTAAGACAGCACAAAGAACTCTGTTTTACGAGATAGAGTATCATGTTTCATTTAAGACAATGGCTGGAAAGAACATAAGTGTAAAGTGTACTTGAGTTGACACACCTTTGGCAATCTGGATCATTCCCACTACAATGATGAGGACAAGGGCCAGCAGTTTCCCCACAGTGAAAATATCCTGGATCCGTGTCCCCCAGCGCACACTGGAGCAGTTCACCCAAGTCAGGAACACTGTAAACACAGGCAGTGAACACACAGTTATTCATTTACACATTCCAAACTCACAGGTTTAATAATAATTTCCCTGAAATATTATGAAAAACATTAGCAATCCCCAAAAAAGGAAAATTAAAAAAGTAATCTAATTAATAATCACATATTAAGAAGTACTGTCTGTCACTTCAGATGTTGTAACAAAGAGCTTTTTCACCAAAAAAAAAAAAAAAACCTAGGTGTCATGGGGACAAATCAGGTTATGACAGTGTGATTTAGTTGGCAGAGCAGCACTGGTCACATGGTCCATTTTTATTAGTTTAAAGGTGCCATAGAATGCATTGATACAATATTTTAAATTGTTCTCTGATATCGCCATAGAAGGTATGTGGCTTAGGTAAGGGCAAAAAATCTCCAGAAATGGATTTACATGTCCATTTACAACCCTAGGATTTGTCCCTAGAATGAAATGGTCTGTTTTTACCTTATTTGGAAGGGTCATGAATAATAATGTTGAACTCTGCTCTGATTGGCTGTTTCAAAGTGCGGCTCATTTCAGTAGCTCACACAGCAGGAAGGAAACAGTGAAAATATATATTTCAATACTTTCTCTCACAGTTATATCATTGGGTAATTATACTGTATATAAAATGCGGACATCAGGGAGCCGCTATTAATATGCGGGGCATTGAACCAGTTTTCGAATGCACGGTCGCGTTTTACTTTCACTTTCAAGATTTGCGATGCACGTGCTGTGTAAACTACAGCGGCAGTACTTACCACACATTTTACAAGATCAGATGCTTGTCAGTGGTGCTCAGGATCTGTAAATCATTCGCCATCATTCTCAGTCATCTCTCCTTACTCTGTTTATGTGGTAAGTGAAATCTTATGTACTGTAATGTAACAGGCTACCGCTAGCAAGCAGCTAACCATGTCCCTTTAGTGGCTAGCTTTATTTTTTTAGAACGTGCGTTATTTGTTTTCTGTGCCTTTCTGAATATAGACACCAACCCATCCCTGCACATCACATCCCCTGCACAGCCTGGAACATAACATTTATTTCCATGATCTGCCATTTTCGCTGTTGTCCTCGCTTGTTTCTTCACAATACCTGCAGAACTTCTGATGATTCGGCTGTGCAGGTTCGGCTGGCGGCTGGCATAGAACATGGGCGGGTATATGCAAATGTTGGGGGCGTAACTATTAGTGATCCCGACTGTAACGTCAGTCGGTCTTATGTTCTGATTCGCCTATTTTTCAGTGGTCTTTTGAATGCACAAGATTTACATAAGGAGGAGGAAACAATGGTGTTTGAGGCTCACAGTATGTAATTTCCATGTACAGAACTGTTATTATTCAACTATGCCAAGGTGAATACAGTTTTCCATTCTACGGCATCTTTAAAGAGGGGAAATAAAGATCAGATGTAACTTATTTTACTGCTGCAGGGAAAACACTGACCCATTCAAGTGGTTATCACTCTGCAAACTTTCAAGGGAGCCTCAAGATAATTTAATAATTTAAAATAAGACAAAATTTGCATTACATTTTCAATTTTATATTTAAAATTAAAATTTGAGTCCCCTTTGTTCAGGGACTCATTATTCCACTTCTGTTCATCGAATGCCTATGAAATCTTAGTTCAGTTTATGTCTTAGTGAACTTTTTATGTTAATAATAATAATGTTACTTTTTTCACATTTGCTGGAAATAAAAGCAGTTGAATGTTGGGGGGGGGTTAGTTTACATTTTTCTAGTTATGCTTGTCAAACTCTATAATATTTCACTAGGTAGAAATTGTGAAACACAAATTACTGAAAAAATAATGCAAATTCATTGGTTAAAAAGAGTGGGAGACTTGAAAAACATACAGCTTTTAAAACGTATGGAATCCTGAAATGTAATTTACAGACACTACGAGTGTCAGGTCTTCAGATATTCTTGTGAACAATGGGGGGCCTTCGAGTCAAAAGGTTGACAACAACTTCTTCAACTGAAGTCAATGCAAGTTAGTGCAGAGGAAAAGTAGAGTGATACAGTTACCTCAAATCACTCTACTTGGTTATCTGTAACCTTACATATTTATTAGGTATCTTTCTTTATGCAGTACAACTGGGACTTCTTTGGAAACAAAAAAAAAGAATAGTTTATCAACTGGCATCAATACAAAGCAGACGAAAACTGACGGATTAAAAAAAGCAAAACTACTCTATACATTCAGTATAGAAGTACAGGCATTAGAGGCCTGCTTGTCTGTACATCTGTGATTGAGGTTAGTGGCTTCTGTGTTCAGCCGTATTGTGTAACAGCTCCGGTAGATCCGGTACACAGAGGTCCGTCTCCAGGGCTTGACGGCACAGTATACCCAGGCATGTCAAGGGAGACACTGGGCAAAGGGGAGACGGGTTACCCCCACTCATCCATCAATGGCCGGAATTACCCGCCCACACACGCAAACACATGCGGGGCATCTGTCAGACCCCCCTAGACAAACAGCTTCCGATGCCCCACAACAAAAATGGTCCAGACGCCAGCTGAATTGTTGGCGAGAGTAAGCAGTTGACAAGAGTGGCTCACAGCCTGTAAACTAACAGCTAACCTGCTCAACTTCATCCGCTCATGTGATCCTGAGCTCAATACACAACATCTGTCAACCTTCATGGTCAGACAGCATTCAGTGAATCAATATAGTACAGCAGTCTTTAAGATAAAAGCACAACTCAGGTAAAAGCAAACAATAAAACACACTTAAAACCTAAACCTGCATCCACAGGGCATCCAAATGTAGTTTTCATATTTTATTCAGAAAACTAATTAATACGTTGATTGTATAACAATGGCTCTCTCTTGGTTCAATGTGATTAAAACAATATGCCTCAAGAGTCACTGTGATTTTTTTTCTCACAGTTATTAGGTGTTCTTAGGGACCTTAAAATTACAGCAATAGCAAGATGATCAAAGACACAATGTTCAAATCATAGTGACATTTATTAATAATAATAATCTGATTTGATTTTTTTTTTTGCCAGTTTACGGTAGCCAGGCAACATATTAGCTCATATTAACCCCAAAATATTGCTCTCATGTTGTTCTAAACTTGCATGACTTTTTGTATGACCCTTTAACATGAATGATTAAAAATAACTCGCATTAATATAAAATATGCAGTGACAGGTGTTATCCATTTTATACAATAGGTTTCAGAGCACTACAGTGTTTGCCATGAGTTTTGTTTCCTCTTGTTTGGCTTTAGCGGATCTGACTCCAGCTCCTTCTGTTTTGTATCACAGTGCAGAATTGACTAAGGGTGGCCAAATGAAGTTAAATGAACACAAAGCTAATGAGAGGAGAATTCTAATGAAGTGCAGTAACAGCCTTTAAATCTGCCAAAATACAACCACTCACTTCAAACCTCCGAGAGGGGCATCCTTCTGCAGCTAATTGACCGATAAAGCCAACAAAAGACACACTAAATACACAAAAACGTGCTAAACACTATATCTCTCTGTGGCCAAAGCCTGAAATAAGTGTTATGTTTTTAATGTTTACTCAGTGTTGTAAATGGCAAGCATTTAAACAGTTTTATATATAAAAAAAAGACATTAAGAAAAACTATTTAGATTTGTATTGTCTCTTTACTTTGGCATGATTCATATTTATGTTTTTTAAAATAATATTGCAGACATGAGCAACAAGAGTCACATGAACAGATCTCTTTCAGTCTCTGGGGTGTGTGGCCTTTACATTTACACATGAGAGGAGAAGCTTTCCACACACTCATAAACCAATAAAAATGTACAGTAAACTACCTGCCATTAAAGTTGTAAAAAAGTAATGTGGCACACATCTTTTTTTTCCAAGTCAAATGAGAGATTGAGTTAAGTTGTATTATGCATGACAATAAGACGCTTCACAAAAGTCTGTGTGTTTGTTTGTGTATCCAGACCAGCGGGAGCTGTGTGTGTGTTTGTGTGTGTGTGGGTATCTCTCTGTGTGTAATCTGACTGCAGTAGACAGAGCTTGTGACATTCATTCAGAACATTCAGAAGGGGAGGGCAAATGTAACACATGGTGCAATATGGACAATTTCTCTCACACAGTGCAACTAAGAACACTCACTCACTCATAACCAGGGGTTCATGCAAAGGTTTCCAAATGCAAATACACCAAGTGTATTTGGTGTAATGAAATGTGTTTATGCGGTTTAAAGTTCAAAAAACACATTATTTTCCACATACTGTACATTATTGTTTCTCCTCTATGCCCCGCCTTTTTGAAACGTGTCGATTTTTACAAAACTCATCGGTCTGAAAAAGCGAGGTGTGCTCTGATTGGCCAGCTATCCAGTGCGTTGTGATTGGCCGAATACCTCAAGCGTGAGACGGAAATGTTACACCCCTCACATACTGTTGATGCCGTGTCCAGCCGGAGCGACGAGACAAAAACATTAAAACCCATTACAAACGAGGCATTTGTTGCATCCAGTGGGGACATAATTACTGATTATAATGACTTATACTGTCTTTTTACGCATTGCATCGCGCCGCGTAAATATAAAACTCTGTCTGCATTTGTGATCGGAGAAATGACAAACAACAAGTGCTACTCTACTGCCCAAAATTCGCGTTTGAATCATCAGTGGCAAATCCTTTAAATGAAAACGTACTTACAGTCTGTGAGTCAGAACAGCCGGCATTGTAGTCTAACGTTACTCTCCCAGGATCAGTAAACAGTCCTCCATAAAATGTGCTGCACACATCTGGATATTTGGGTTAAACTGCTCTGGAACAGTGTTGTAAGTGCAACTTAACCACTGATTTCTAGTCGTGTCCTCTTTTGGAAGACAAAACAAAGTAGTTTCGCTTTCACAATGAAAAACACAGCTGCCTAGCGTGAGGGGAAGCCCTGGCTTAGTGTGCGCTGAGGCCTGGATAGAGTGAGCTGAGGCCGGGCTAGCGTGAGCCGAAGCCCCGGCTTAGCGTGCGCTGAGGCCGGGAAAGAAGAGAAAAGTTTCT